TATATATATATATATATATATATATATATATATATACACATATAAATGTATATATGTGTGTATGTGTCAATTGTCATTTGTACAGGATGTTTTAAGAGTACCTTCCCTCTAAACAATGTCAATATTTTACAACACATAAATCAATGGCAAATTAACTCTCAAGAATAATGACCATTCACCTTAGAGAATTAATGGGTCTCTAAACTTCTTCATTTACCCAACTTCTGCCCTAGCTCTTCTTAAATATTGTTATGGATAAGGAGATCAGGTTCCACATGGTCTGCTTCAAGAGACGGGCCACTAAATGGTATGATTAAAGTGACGATGAAAGGACATATCCCCTCTACCTGTAACCCTAATCAATGGTCCTCTTACCCTCTTGCCATAGTGACAGGACCCAATCTTTCAAATCAACCTTTTCATTTTCTGGCTTAAGTTACTATTATGCAGCAAATATTTTCTCAGGAAAACAATATGTGAAGACAGGTATCTAACATTCTCTTGCTCTAATGTTAGTGTGGGAACAGGGCTACCCTCTCAAGCCAGTTAGTTATCTAAGCAAAAAAGGCACCCAAAGAAATGAGAAGAACCAGTGAAATTTTATTTTATCTCAGTATTGAGTGCTCTCCCCAGGCCCGATACCCCAACCTACCCTCCTGTTTATGTGACTTCAACAAAATGGGATTCAAAGACTGACACATTGGATGTATTTATTAACAGTTAGAATATTTCACCACAAATTGGAGATAATTTTATTGGGAAATGTTTATTGCAAAGGAATTGCTCCAAGCCTAAAATAGCATTTATAGTAGAATAACCCTCTTGTGCTGTCTTTTACATTACAATGTTTTTAAGCATTAACGCCAGTAGACATCAATATTTGGGTGACGGTCTGTTTATTAATTGTTCTTTCCTATATTGTCAAAATTACCAAGCCTCAGTGTTGTTTTCCTTTACAAAAGAGGCAGCACAAGAGGCATGCTCATAAAGGCTTTTTTTACAAAAAAAATCCCATAATTTATTTTATATATAAAATAGTGTAGTTAATGTTTTAAAGATAATGCCTAACATTGTGTCAAAAAGTGTAACAAAAGTATCTGTGAAAAACTAAAGATTTTCGAAATTTTCAATTATGACTGTATTTTACTCATGAGATAGTTCTTTTCATACCCCCAAACTAGGCATCTTAAATTTTATGAAGCAGAGCAATGAGACTACAAATACACTTAGCCAACATGTATTCTACAGCAGACTTCACTCTAACCTACAGTACATTAATCGTGTCTAGTGGAACATGCTCTGAGACCCAGAAACTAGCAAAGTGCAGAGCTCTTAGCAGATGCTAAAATGAAATCTATATCATCATAGCCCATTTGAAAGTTTTACGATATCAAACATACAAATGCGTATCCCTATAATTTGCAATTTTATGTGGAAATCTATAAAGTAAGTTATTCATATCATATGTTGGCTTTGGAGTGTTTTCTTTTCTCTATGTATGTGCATGAATTAAGATAATTTTTTCTAATAACCATTTATATTTCTTTTCAGAGTGACTAGAACTATAATTCATTTATTCAATAAATCTTGACTGAGCACTTATGAGAAGTTGGCATTGCTCTGGGTGAAGGAGAAACAGCAATGAACAAAATGGACAAAGTCCCCATCCCAGTGAAGCTTAGAATCCAGTGGGGCTTCCACTACAGACAATAATGACCAAGAAAATAGGGAAAACACATTGTAATCAGATGGTGATATGTGCTAATGAGAAACGTTAAAATAAAATTAAAATGTTGTTCAAAACAATGTGGAAATACCACTAAAAGCTTCCAAAAGTTTTTAAGTGCTAGTAAAGTTGATCAGCTCTATATAGACATAAAAATGTTCTGGGTCCATATAAATATATAAAATACTTAAATAATCATACATAACTTGAAATTAATACGAAGCCAAAATTCTCAGGAAAGTCCTCATTCCTGTGACTGTCTATGAATCATATTTTATAAAGAAAATGTCAGTTTAGTGAATCCTAAGATTTTTTTCTTTTAGTTTCTCTCTAGTGCTGTTACCTTTCTAAAAACATAAAACAAAACTAATACACATAAATGATTCCCACTGAACAGGTTACTAAAACCCCCAAATATTGAACATTATCTATCACCACATAATCTATTTCATCACAAATGGATGAAGTACAGGAGGCCTTTTAAAGTAAAGGAGGTCTTTCCATGCAAGTTTGTTCCATATGAAAAAGAAAAAAAATGCTTATACTAGAGGGCTCCTTTGACAGGAACGTAATTATGAGCAAGGCCATCTCTGTGCCTATTCCAAGTACGCCTAAGCCCCAGGAACAGGATAAACGTGGAGGCAGGCATCCCATACCTTCTTCAGCTTCTCTATCATTTCTTCAATGAGAACGTCTCCATTTTGGGAAACTTTGCTTTCCATCTGAGTCAGCCATTCGCAGAGCTCCTTGTTTTTTTCGCTGAAGACTGCCCATTCATTCAGTCTTTCACTCACTTGCTGCCGCCTTAGGGAGAGCTGAGAAGTTTAAAAAGAGAGAAAATGCAAAAGGATAATTGGAGTGGAACTCATACCCTGAGGGCAACAGCCAATAAACTCTGTTGGCTGGACGACTGTGAGTAACAGCGCATCTCTTTAGGTATTGTTTCCTGGGGTCCAGCCCCAGGAGCACGGCTCCTCAGCAAAGAGGTTTCACAACAAGAATCTATGACACACAGGCGGGAGACCTCGAACCCTGCACTTTCCTCCTGAAGAGCCACAGGTGCCTTCATTCATTACAGGTTCCGAACAATCTAGCTTCACACTTCAGTTGGTTCTGTGTAGACATACTATAGGATCGTTGCCACTTTTAGCAAAAAAAAAAAAAAAAAAAAAAGTAAGTTTCTTGGAGGCAGAAAACTACTGAAAAGCCAAAGAGCAGTAAGCAAAAATTATAATTACAATAATGAAGCAGAT